GTGTAGGAAAAACCCACCAGACGAAATTTTCCCCCGCCGCAGGTAACAAGCTGCAGCTAAGAAATGAGGGTACAGATCATCTCCTCGGTAAATTCATTATAAATAATAAATGAATTATTTTTTCTAATTTTTCACTTTATATAACTTCTTTTAAATTCACTTAATCCATTTTTCAAGATATACCTCGTTATTACATCAAAATAAAAGAATTCATAAACGTTGTTAGTTGGCAAATGATCCGTGCAGAAGACGACGGGAGCGAGAGGAGCGTACAGATATATGGGAAGAAGCGAACTATTTTTGGCGGAATTATTCTGTCTCCGGCCCAATCCAGAGTCTGAAGATTGAAATTGTAAGTATCATAAATTTTTATTATATATGAATTTCTCTTCTTATATATGTTGCATGTTAATGTAATGCTTTTTGTTTTACAGAAACAATGATTTAAATACATATTTTTTTATTTTTTTTATATTTTTTTTTATTAAATATTTTTCATGTAATTTAGACTCAAATAAATATATTTTTATTAAATATTTTTCATGTAATTTAGACTCAAATAAATATACTTTTTTTCTTAAAATAAATATACCTTTTCTTTTCTTAATATATTTCACTACATAAACAAGCTATTTCTATATTAAGCATTCGAGCTATTTAAATTATTAAATAAAAATTTAACAAAATATTTTTGCGCGCAAGAAAAAGATACAACGGGAGCGATAACGTGGCAGGACAGATGACAAAACATAAGAGGAAGAGAGAGTAAGTATATGCGGTAAGTATACAGGTACGGCCCACCGAGCGCACGATGCGCGGGCCGCGAGGAGCGGGAATGGCCTAGCAGGCGCGCCACGCCGTTGAGCTTAGATGCTCGCGACGATAAGTCCCGCTCCTCGCAGCCCGTACTTTCGGCAATAATAGGTCGGGAAGACGTGCATATTCGGCTATTTTTAAACGTTAATATCTCGTTAATTGTTGCGAGCATTACAAAATGGTAGAGGACTTTTCTACTCAGTTTAGTCCACTCGTATATTCATGCCACCCTGTATGTGAGCTCGCATGACGTCGCGGCGGTGGGGCAACGACGACGGTGGCGATGGTCGACCGTGGCGGTCCGCAGCGGCGGAGGGCAGTAGGGTGACGACGGGCGGCGGGCGGTGGCAATGGGTGGCGGTGGATGACAGTAGACGGCGGCGGGTGACGAAAAAAATAAGGAACGCATAGCGGAACGTCACGTCGCGTCATCACGCATATCATGTCTACGTAATCCATCGATCGGTCCTATGTTTATATAAATAGCGATCGAGAACCTTTCTCGCGTCTTCTCCCGCGCCTAGTACCTCCCCCTCTAGCTCCATAGATTAGAACCGGCCTATTACTCCTACTATCGTTCAACAAAACGAATGCGTACATTTCATTCTTTCGGAAAAACATTTCTGTTTTCGCACATATAAATAATATTTTATATAGAGATATATAGATTATATTATATATAATATTCTAAAGAATTTAGGGAATGGGATATATAGCATCCTGGAGAATTTAGGACACTAATAGGAATACTAGGGTTCAAACCCATGGGGCTAGAGGGGAACGCGGGGCGGGAGGGGGGGGGGGGATCCGG